AATATTAATATATCAACTCAAACAGGGGCCGTTGTTTTATTGGTTCACGGAGCTCGGAGAGATTCGCCACAGCGGTGAAAAATACTGTGCAGAACGGAGGGAGCCGGCGGCTTTGATTTCTCCTGCTGCTGCTCACATGGGCTCGGAGCATCCACAGACGGGGCAATGGCGCTGCTTTGCCACAGCTGTGCAGCGACACTTCAGATGCCTCCGCTTCTCTTTGTACAGCCTGCTGGAAGCATCCCAAAACCACAGTGGCAAGAGATTAGAAGGCAGGCGGAGGGGAGACCGGGAGAGAGCAGAAATCACACTTTATTATCTGCAAGAGTGGAGATTTTAATAACACGGAAAGCCCGCCCCCCAATCTGATGGGCTTGGCGGGAGCGGCGGTCCCAGGCTGAGCCTCACAACACACCGGCCGGCTCCTCCGGTGCCGCCCCCACTGCCCGTGGTGGTGGCCAGGTGCCCACAGTCCCGCCTGCCTCTCGGCCCGTTTTGGTTGAGAGTTTGCAAAAGGAGAAGAGCAAAGCACAACAAAACACGATGCTTGCTGTTTGCTGTTGTGTCTGCGCATGGCTGTGGTTCAGTATTTAAAGGGATTGCTGCATTTATTGATTCGTTCATTCATTTATGGTACCTGGGATTTAGGTGTCTGTTATCGGCTTACCCACTCATGAATATTCTGAAATTCTCAGTGGCCGTCCTTGGGTGCAAGCGAGAGAGCTGCTGGGGCCACATTTGGTTTTCAGATGTCGTGCACTGCAGAGTTAATGCGTGATTAATTTTATTCATAAAAATGTTAATCACTTCATTGTGAGATCTTCTTAGCATTCCGTGCAGCAAGCACCTTTTTAATTTCTCTTGCCCACCACCTCGCAGATGTATTTAATATTTCCCCACGTTACCCAGCTATCCGAGGCGCTGGCAATTAAGCATACGTTTAAATTTCAGTAACAAGGGAAGCTGTGGCAGCCACAACCGAGTGCAAAGGGCGGACCCGGGACAGGCACCTCGGAGAGCAGCTTCCACGGAGCCCCCGGCCCACAGATGGCAGACAGGCGGGGCGCCCCAGCCGGCTTCTGCCCTACTAGAGGACGGTCTCCATACAGAATCCGAACCTAAACTTACAGCCCATGGGTTTGGAAGCTTTAACCCACAATGTGCCCAGAGCTCAGGTCCCTCCGAACGGCACGTCCCTGGGCTGGGGAAGAGGAGGGGGAGCACGTCGCCCCGTCAGGCGCCACCGCCGCCCGGCTGCAGCCTGGCCAGGGTCCCCGCGCCCAGACGCTGGGTTGGAGAGGCTGCGCAAGTGGATTAGGGGATCAGAGACAGCCGGTGCATCCGCAGAAGCCTAACAGAGCCGCGCAGGGAGGGCTGCCCCTTGCTCCCGTGCCGCCCCCGCTCGGTCGGGAGAAGCCTGGCCCTGTTCTTCCCGCTGGGCGCACCTGGGCCCGGCGGCAGGGCGGGATACAGCCGCCCCCAGGGGCACATCCTGTGCTCCTGCAAGGTTAGGATCCGGCCGGGAGCCGCTGGCGCGCCCCGGGCTTCCGCGACGGGGGGCGTGGCCGGAGAGGTCACCCAGGCGGGGGCTCGCCCGCCCCGGGGTTCAGGGCCCCCTGCTCTGGCTCTCCACTCAGGACAACTCCAAGAGGACTGCGGGGAGCTTCAGGCACTTGGCCCTCGCGCGCTCCTTCCCCCACTGAAAACAAATGAGCAAACATTTTACAAGTGCGCTGCCATAAAGACGAACCTTTGACCTTGAAGTTACCCCTTTTATTTGAAAATTAAAGCACGTGCGTGAGCCCCCAGAGGTCTCAGGGCCAAACCCGCCCCGCCCGGCCGGGCCCACGGCCTCTCCACTGGCAGCCGGCATCATCGCGCAGAGAGGGGCCTGTGCGCAGCTGCAGCCGCCGCCGCCGCCGCCGGTCGCGGGGTCCGAAGGCAGCCAGCAGTCCCCATGGGGTGACCTTTGCCTGTCCTGCGCCAGGAGATCTGCAGGACAGCCCCCTCCACATGGCAGCTCAGCAGGTGCTGAGTTTTTGTGGGTGCGCCCCAGCTGTTACAGCTGAGGCAGTGTCCCGGGTGGGTGCAGTAGCTCCCTCCAGTATCTGGGTACAACTCAAACCCCCCACACTGACTTAGGGGGCCCCTAAAGTGCATGAGCTTTGCCGCCACCCCCAGAGTGTGGACTCCTGGTCCCCAGCCTGGGTGCGCACCCCAGGCCTCCTCCCTCTCTGGTGGGACTCTCACCAGGAACCATGTCCTCCTTTGGGGCTGAGAAGACAGACAGGGCCCCAGGTGCCCCACAGCGCCCCTGCTCCCACCCTCGGAGACCCCAGAGCCCCACTGACACAGGGCAGTCTCTGGGCAGGCAGCAGCCAGAGACAGCCTTGCCTGGCGGTGGGGGTGGGATCCCTGGGCTCCCTGCTCTCTGGGAAGCCAGGCTCCCAGGGCTCTCTGCCTCCTCCCTTCCTCTGCCACTCCCAACTCTCAGTCCCTGCTGGCAAACTGGGCCCTGTAGCTTGGGGGGGGGGGCACTTCCAGGGCTTCAATCTCCGCACACTGGTGTCCATCAACCCCCTCCTCCGCCCCCTGCCAGGCTGGCATCGCCAGGGATGGAGGGACCGGGCTGGGCTGGAGCTCTCCCCGGGTCCGCCTGGCCCTGCTCTCTGGCACAGCCAGTCCCCGAGGACGAGGGGAACTGTACAGGGCATGATTCATCGGGTGGCGCGCCCCTCGGAGCCAAGCCGACTCTTCCATTAATCAGTGTCAGGCCACTAAAACCGAGAGATGAATATGAATCCCACATATTGCCGAGGAGACAAATGTGCTTCGGGCACGGGGATTTCTGGGACGCCAGCAGGTCAACCATGGGGGCGGGGCCTGTGCCACTCCCCAGGTGTTCAGGCCCCGGGGCTGGGGGCATGCTGGGGGGATGCTGGGGGCGTCCCTTTCACAGGAGCTGAGAGCAGAGCTGCCCCGAGCTGCAGCTGCACACCCCCCAAAAAAGGCCCCGCAGAGCAGAAATCCTGGGTGGGGGGCACGTGGAGGAAGGGCCCTGCACCTTCCTCCTTTCTGGGCACAGGATCACAGGTTGCCCTGCCCTGCCCCCGCGGGGCCTGGGGTGCGTCCCCCAGGCACTGCCCAGGCCGGGTCTGGAAGCAAAGGAGGCTTCCACGTGTCCTGTGTCCACCCGGGAGGACTCAGGAGGGGACGAGTAGGGCACGTGGGTTGCCTTCCGCGCCCCCATGCACACCGAGGTGACCGTGGTGGCCAGGGAAGAGGGCAGCAAGCAGCCAGCAAAAGACAAAAATGCTCAATGCTGCATCAGCAATCTCCGTGTGGCTTGGCGCTGGAGAAAAGCTCAGGAGGTTCACAAGCCTCTGGGGCTGCAGGCGGGCACCTCGGCGCCCCCACTCGACCCCCAAAGGGAGGAAGGGCAGGGTGCCCTGCAGAGCACAGGCTCGCGTGGGCCATAGAGGAGCTGAGCCTGGTGGGGCAGAGAGCTCTGGGGGGCAGGGAATCCCGTGGCGGTCACCCGCAGCTCAGAGCAGACGGGCGCCTGGTGCTCTGTCCCAGAGCAGACCGCAGGCCAGGAAGAGGCTGGGCACGGATGCGGGGCCGAGGACGCCGACCCACTGGGCCTAGTGGTCACGGAGAGTTCTGAGGCCCAGCGGACCATGAAACCCTGGGCTGCGAGGATCCGCGAAGGGTCAGCGCAGGCGACGGCCGAGGACAAGGAGGACCCCCGGCGTGCAGCTCCTCCCACAAACACAAAGACAATGCGTGGGTGACCCGCTGAACACGGGGCCCACGGGGCCCCAAATCCCTGCACCCCGCGATTCGCGCCACGCCCCAGGAGCGCCGGTCAGGGCCCCGTTCCGCCTTCGGACCATAGAGGGCGCCTTGAGCACGTCCATGCGGCCCGCGACGCTGCACCTTGGCCGGGGCCGCCAGGCCGCTCCGCTCTTCGGGCTGCTCACCGCTCCTCGCCCACCGCGCCCACGCGTGCGCCGGCTTCGGGGCCCCGCGAGAGCGCGGGTGCGGGGAACGCCGGAGAGGGTAGTACCCACGGGGCGGGGCCGCGGCCCTAAGCGCCAGCAGCGTCTCCCGGCTACCCCAGGAGCGCCGGCACGGAGTCTGCGCCGACTCTGCCGGCCGCACAACCGGTGGCCAGGGCATCCCGGAAGCGCGAGGGCCTGAAAGGTGGCGGCCGTCCCTCCACACGTCGGGGCCTGGCCTTCTCCCTGCTGAGCCGCGGCAGCGCGGGCAGATTCGGAGGCGTCGGCTTCCCTGGTTTCCAGGAACTGGGCGGTGGTCCCGCGCCCCCGAGGGCCCCGCGCCGGCTCCGGCTGCCCGCGCGCCCGCGCCCAGACGTTCTGCCCATCGGCCGCGGGTGTCCACGCTCGGGGCCCCGAGCCCCCGTGGCGTCCGAGGCGGGCTCCGCCAGGCAGGTCCCGCTCTCTGCCCTCGCTCCCGCTCCCCAGGACACAGTCAGTGGCGCCAGGGTTGAGAAGAGCCCTCGCCACGGGGAGTCCAAGCCCCTTTCCCGCGTCCCCACCCCTGCGCGCGTCGGAGCACCAGAGCCTTCCCTCGTCTGCGTGTTCGAGGAACCCCCGAAATGAAACACACGCGCGCACGCGCCGCTCTGCAAACTCTGCCAGGGGCGAGCCACCAGCGCGACCTCCTCTACCTGCAATGCGGAGTCCTCCCTGGGGCCAGCGATCAGGCCCCCTTCCACTTTTTTCCTTTCGTTTTTGCGAATAAATAAATAAATAAATAAAACTCCCCAAAGCGGAACTGGTGCCTGTCCTGGGGGAGGAGTGTGCTCCGGTGCGCTCGTCCTCGCCTGCTTTAGCGGCAACAGGAGCGAATCCTACACCCGCCGCCAGCAGCCGCAAGCCCCCAGACCCGCGCCTGCGCCAGCCTGGCAGCCCCTCCCTGCGGAGCCCACCCCACGCCCGCCCGCCCCCTCAAGCACCGCATCAGGGAGCCGCGCATCGTTTCATTCAGTTTATTAGACAAAAATATATGATTTAGACAAGTTCGCTGACGCGTTATTTACAATCTGAAATCACTCTATATACAGAAAGGAAAAAAAAAAGACACAAGACGTGGGGGCCTTTCCCGGATCGGATCCCCGGCCGCGGGCGAGGGTCGTCGACGTGGCGGGCAGAGCCGGCCTCCACTCCGCTCCGAAGTATTAGAGTTCCTCCCCGTCCCCTCCCTCCCCATCACCCCCCTCCCCCCGCGAAAGGAAAAGACGACCCTCGGTCAGGCGGACGGGAGGGCTGCGAGGACGCGCGGGGTTCCCTCCTGCGGGACCAGCGAGCTGCGGGGAGACAGCCAGACACGAGCAGGGTCAGTGCGCGGGCGCCGCGCCGCCGCTCCCGCCCAGGAGCCCCGGCTCCGGAGAATCCCGGCTCGGCTCCGACAGCCCCTGCCCGCGGCCGGCCGGCGGCCCTACCCCCACCGCCGCCCAGCCCGCTCCGCCCCCGCCCGCGCGGTCCCCACCTCCGCCCCCGCCCCGGGCCGCACTCACTTGTCCCGCACGGGCTGGAAGGGCGACTTTAACTGCTGCGCCGGGGAGTCCGGCCTGGGGACGAGGTCTCTCTCTGCGAAGGAGTGGTAGAGACAGGGTTAGGACAGTGGAGAGCGCAGGCTCTCGGTGCTCCGGCTTCCCTGTCCATTCCCGACCGCCACAGCCGCCTGCGGGCGGGCGGAAAGGCTCGCTCCTCCTCCCCCACGACCCCGGAGCAGGCCCGTGCGTAACGCACAGCTCTTTAGGGACAGCCCTAAGGCCTCGGTCTCGCTCTCTGAATTAAAGCTGAGTCGGCAGCCAGGGCCCTTCGCTCTCTGACCGGGCGCTCCGCCCTCCACCCCCATCCCTGTCTCCAGATTCCTCGCTGGGGTCCCGGTGGCGCAGTACCTGGAAGTGCGGGGCTGCTGCGGGCCGAGGCCTTTTCGCCGTGCAGCGCTCCCGTGGTAATGGCGACCGGAGGCTGCGGCGGTGGTGGCGCGGGCAGGTGCGGACCGTGGGGCGCGGCGTGGGGCGTGCCGACGCCCAGGAAGGAACGCATGTTGAGCAAGGAGCCCTGCGCGAGGAACGCGCCGTTGGTCCAGTTGGAGAACTTGCCGATGTGGCAAGTGTACAGTCCGTGGCTGGGCAGGAAGGCGGGGTGTTGCAGCGGCGTGCCGGTGGGAGGCCCGTGCGCCCCGGGGTGGCTGGCGGGCGGCGGCGGCGAGGCCTTGGGCGCGCCGTCGGGGCTCGTGGCTGTCTCTGCCAGCGACCAGATCTTGGGCTTGTTGTGCTGCGCGCCGGGCAGGCCTCCCGCCCCGGCGCCGGGGCTCAGCAGGCGCGTGCTGCCCGGCTCTGGGGCCTCCTTGGCCAGGCCCAGAGGCGAGTCTTGGGGCTTGAGTGTGTCGGCGGCTGCCAGTGGCGATCCCTGGTCCCGGGCGAGAGCCGGGGGAGCGGCGGGCGCGCGCGGCGCCTCTGTCTTGTCCTCCTCGTCCTCGTTGCTCTGGTCGCCGTCCTGCTCGCCGATGGTGTCGATGTCGATGCTCTCCAAATCGATCTCCTCGTCGTCCTCGGCCTTCTCGGGGTCGCCCTCGGTGTCGCTGCCGAAGAGGGCGCCGTCTTCCTGGTCCTTGCTGCGCGAGCCCCAAGTCACCTTGTTCTCCTTCTTGAGCCGCCGGCGCGCGTTGGCGAACCAGGTGGAGACCTGCGTGAGGGTCATCTTGGTGATGATGGCCAGCATGATCTTCTCGCCCTTGGTGGGGTAGGGGTTCTTGCGGTGCTCGTTGAGCCAGGCCTTGAGCGTGCTGGTGCTCTCCCGCGTGGCGTTCTTGGGCCGCCCGGGGTCCCCGTACTGGAACTGGCCATAGGGGTAATAGGCCGGCGCCGTGTGCGCTGCGAAGGTGGCTGGGTGCACCCCCGGGTTGTCCTTGAGCTCATACTGCGAGCCCTGAGTCCACGCCACAGAGCAGGACAGGAGAGAGAGCAGGGAGGAGGAAGAGAGAGAGAGAGGGAGTGAGACGGGCCCTAGGCTTGGGAAAATCGGGGAGGCTGCTCCTGGCGGCTCCCGGACCTCCCGGCCTCCCCAGGCACCGGGCACCGCGGCCTTGCACAGGGGCCACCCTGATCCACTCTTGGGGAGGACAGACCAGGCTTTTCCACCGACCCCTGAGGTGGTTTTTGGGTCTTAAAAACAAAACAGAAACAAAAACAAAAAAACCTGTGGCGAGCCGGCTCTTGCGCGGAGCTGAGGCCAGCGCCGGCCCTCCAGACGGTCCTCGCCCCCCTGGGTCCCCGCCACCGACAGCTCGCGAAGCCCGGATTTCCAAGTTTATCTGACACTAGCCAGAGGGAAACCTTTTAACTGCGCTGATAAAACAGTTTCCCCACACCCCAGGAGCCAGCGCTCAAGCCCCCTCCCCTCAACCCTGAGGGGGTCAATCAAAATAAACCGTCGGCCGTCTCTGCGGCCCAGTCCACCCGCGACGCAAAGCGAAAGCGCGCGCCTTCGACTGCGGGACCGCGTCTGCGTGTCCAGCTTCGCCCGCACCCGCGCGTGGACAGCACCGGTGGCTGCCTCCGGATGGTAATCTAGGCCCCCCGGCAGACAGAAGCAACAAAACCCGCCTGTTTCCTTAAATACAAAAGGCAGGGCTCACCGGGTTGAAATTTTAACGCGGGGCCCCCGGCGCCCCGCAGCGAGCAGGGGACTGGGCGCTCGAGGGCCTCTCCGCGGCGAGTTTATCGCCCAAGTTTGACTTTGATCTGGGGCAGCAAACGCAAAGTGTTTGCAGCCATTCAGCGGGGCTGATTTATCTACAATCAATACTCTTTTTATCATCAGTAGTAAAACACAGCGAGTCAAATTATCCCATCAGGTTTTTTGGTAAATAACATTTTATCTTTCTAACAACCTCATTAGGCCTCATTATTACCATAAATTGCCCAGACAGACGCTCCCTCACAATTTAATCTTTTGACTCCCAAATACGCAGTCCTACGGGCTCGGCGGAAGCCAGCGCTCAGAACCCGGGTTCGGGTTTCAGCTCAGGTTGCAGGAGCCCGCGGGAGACCAGCAGGAAGGGTTTTTACCTATCCTCCCCCGCGTTTAAAATCAAAACAAAACAAAAGCGAAGCCTCGCCCTTCGTCCCCTCTCCACAAAGGCAGAGGGCCTCGCCGAGGGGCTCCCCCGCGCGCGCGCTCTCACACACACACACACACACGCGGGGTGCCCAAATGGCACACGCCTGTATACAGAATTTTCGTATTAAAAAAATAAATAAAAATAAAGAGCACCCCGCGCGTGGGGGCAGCGAGATTCAGGACGCCGCAAAGTTGCGCGGGAGCGCGTGACCTCGCTCACGAGTCTGATAACGGCTTCGGTGGCCGGGCTTCGCTTTCCGCCCGCCCCGTGTGGCACGCAGTGGGCGCGCTGGCGACCCTCCTGGTCGCGACTGCGAAGGAGACATTTCGGCCTTGTCTCCGCTGGGAGTTCTCTCTGAAAGGACACCTTGTAAATCGCTCAGCGCTTCGCCGGCATCCCCGCCGCCGGGACAAAACGAGGCCCGGATCCGCCTGGCGGAGCGCGCGCTGGGCGGCAGCTGGGGCCGGTCCCGGAGAAACAGGCTCGCTCTCAGAACTACGAGAAAAGTTACGGGGAAGCCGGCACGCCGCCCCAGCCGGGCTCACGGGCGCGCGTGCTGTGCCCGCCTCTCCTTCGGCGGCGTGGGGACTCTGCGGGATGCCGCGCGCAGTCACGCATGAGGGGGCCGCCTCGCCGCCCCCATTCCCCGGCGTTCCGGAGCCGATGCAGCCCCGATCCTGCAACCGGACCCCCGATCCTGCGGACCCACGGCCCGGCCCGAGCCTCCGCCGAGAATCAGACCCGCGGCAGAGGGCCGCGGATCTCCAATCGCGGACCCAGTCTTCAAGCCTCCATTACGCAACGCGGGAAGAAAAGTGCGCGTTGCTTTGGGTGCAAATGAAATGAAAACTTTGGCAACTTGCACAAGTAAAAGCAAACGCCGTTTATTTAATCTTTCGTTCAATCGCAAATCCACACGCGCGCCACTAAGGGACTCCTAGGTTCCGTCCCGTCTCCATTGTTAGGCCCGTTCCGCGGGGCTCCGTTAGGCTTTTGGGGGCTCCCTCGGGCAACGCGGCCTCAACCACCTCGGCCCCGCCAAAGCCGGACACCATTGGGCCTTCCCGACCCAGCGCAAAAGCTGCAGAGGCCCCGCGGGCCCGCGCGGGACGTGCAGCGGACTGGGCCCAGCCGCTGGAACCCCGGGGCCTGGTTGGCGCCCAGGTTGCGCGGGGTGCGTGCACCCCGACCCGCAGCGCGCTCCCAGTGTCCCGGGCCTACTGCTGCGACCTCTCCCCACTCCGGCCGCGACCCTCTTCCAGGCTCGGGCCTTCCCCTACCCGGGCTGCGCCAGCACGGCCATCAACGGCGGGGCCTCCTCCGCCCTCCTGCGCCTGCAGGCGGGCCCTCGCCCGGGCCGCGTCCTCCGGATCTCGCCTTCCCGCGCGCCCCGCGGCCCTTGCCGTCCCCCCGCCCCCCGCGTGCCCCAGGAGCCGGGTACCGAGCGGAGCGGGGAGAAGGGCGTGGGGGAGGCCGGGACACTCACCATCTGCGAGAAGAGGCTCAGGTCGGCGGCGTAGGGCAGGAAGGCGCTGTAGTTGGGTGCGCCCGCGTAGGGTCCGGCCGCCGCGTACATGCCCAGCACCGAGGTGACGGCGGCCGCGCCCGCGCCCGCGCCCAGCTCCGCCGCCCCCGGCCGGCCCGACGAGGCGGCGGCCGCGGCGGCGGCGGCTGCAGCCAGCACCCCCGGGCGCTCGCCGCCGTAGGCGCCGGGCCCCGCGGCGCTCAGGTACTGCGGGTAGCCCAGCTGCGGGAAGGACATGTCCGCGGACTCGGCGGCGGGCAGCCACGCGGGGGGCGGGGGGCTTGGCGGGGACGCGGCGCGGCGGGGAGCGAGCGGCGAGCCGGGCGCGCTCGGGCCGGCCCGGAGGCGGGGGGCCGGTCGCTGCTCCTCGGCCCGGGGCTCGCTGGCGCCCGGCTCCCGGCTGCTCCCGGATCCGCGATCGCGCGCCGACTGCGGCGGCCGCCCTCCGCTCGGCGGCGGGGCTATCAGACACAATTTGAAGTTGATGCTTTGATTGGCATCCCCTTGAGCACAGGCCCCGCCCCTGGCTCGCCTCCCGCCCGCCCTCGCCGGCCGCGCCAGCCCCTCCCGGCGAGCACGTGGTGCCCCGCGCCGGCCGGGCCACCTCCTCCCGTGGCGGGCGGGCGCGCGCTGCCGGGCGGCGGGTGCGGGCGTCTTCCCGCCCGGTCCCCGCAGCCGCGTGACAGCCGTCGGCCCGGGCTCCCGGCCGGCCCGCACCCGGGTTGCGGTGGAGCAGCCGGGCTGTGTCTCCTTTTACGCAGCACCGCCGTGAGCCTGAGCTACGGTTGGGCCGGCGGCCGGGGCTCGGCTGACAGCCGGAGCTGGGCGGCCTCTCTGAGCCTTGCACGTCCTCGGCGGAAGCGGCGCCCACCGCCCACGGGGGCCGCGGATCGCCCGGCGGGCCCTCACACCCCCCACCCCGGCCGCCCTTGGGGTGCGCGCGGCGGATGAGCCCCGCGCGCTCTCGGAGTTGTGCAAACTTTGCGGAAGGGCGGCCTTGGCCGAGAAGACGCCGGCGCGGGGAGCAGAGCGGCGGCCGGCGGGGACGCCCGGAGGCAGGAGGTGGGGGAGGAAGGGGGAGGGCAGAGCCTTGTGCTCGCGGGGAAAGCGCCGTGGCCGCGGGAGAGGCGCGTCCCGGTCCCGCGCCCGGCGACGTGGAAGCGGGCGCGGCCTGGGCGCCCGGGTTTGTCCGCGGGCCGTACGGGTGCAGGAAGTAAACTTGCGTGCAGCGGCTGAACCCGCGGGAGCGACGGCCGCCGGGTCGGGGGTAATGCCGCCCCAGGGCTCAGCGGCCCTGCTCAGCCCGGCCCGAAGCGCGGGGCCGGCGGCATCGCCGCGGGCCTCTCGGTGCAGTTCCCGGGAACAGGCGCCCCGCGCTCGCTCCTCCCCGGACGACCCGGCAGGCCGCTTCCGAGCTGCGGCGGCGCGGGAGGAGAGCGCGCCCCGGTACCTGCGTCGGCTCCCGGCGCTGGCCGGAGTGCAGCTCCTGCCCGGTTCGTGCGCACTGGACTTGGGGCCAGAGTCGGGGTGGGCCTGGGCGCAGGCCTGTCGGGGCCGGGGAGTGAGCGCTGCCCAGGCAGAACCCTGCAAGGCTGCGCTCCGGTGACCTGGGCCACCGGTCCCCCTCCTCTGCTCGGGCCGCGAAGGGCCCCGGGATTCCCGGAGAACTGGGAAGGATGCCTTTCCCCGGGCTGCAGACACTGAGCTGTCGCCTGTAATTAGCAATAATAAGGCACATAATAGTAATTACTAATTACCGGCTCCGACTCCGGGCTGCATTTCTCTGCTGACTCAGGTCCTCGCGTTTCGACTGCGCCCCTGCCCCCACCCCTGTGCCCTCCAGAAAGCCTGGCTGCTTTGAAACGGAGTCCGGGGAGGGGGGTGCTTTCCAGTGCCCCCCCCACTCCCATTGGCTCGCCAGCCCCTCACTTCCAACACCAAGACCCTAACCTCTTCTCTTGTGTCCCGAACAAAGCCACCCACTGAGGGTGAGTCCTGGGAGAATGGCCCAGCCCCTCACTGTCTTGTTTAGCAAACTCCAGTGTCACCTTTCAGGGTAAACACAGGTGGACTAACTTAGGTCACGTGGAGGAGGAGGGTCCAGCTACACAGTGCCAGCCCTACCTTTGGGTCCCAGGTCATGTCACCCCTGAGGAGGCTACAGCCAGTGGGGGCTTTGTCCTTTGGGTCAACCAGCCACCAGGCAGTGCCATCCTCCGCTGGCCCAGAAAATGCTAGGCTGTGAGCACACCAGGGAGGTGAGTGGGAGGACCTGGCTGGGCCCCACCCAGAAATATCCCTGCACACGCGGCCTGGGCAGGGTGAGGCTCCCAGGGCACCGCATTAGCAAGGCCACTGGACTCACCTCCAGGAACCCTGAAAAGGTGTGCAAGGGGCGATTGTGACCTGGGAGACCTCAGGGGTTAAAACCCTGTCTTGGGGGGGCTCCAGCAGGGCCTCGTGGGCCCCGTGTCGCCCCAACACCTGGATGGGGTTGCTGGGGAGCAACCTACACAGAGGCAGCTTGGCCAGCAGTATAGTCCACTGCAGAGGAGGCCAAGCCAGCTGCCCCCTCCCCCATGCCAGGGCAGGTGGAGGGCCTCCCAAGGGACCCGTGGGCGCGGCTCAGACCATCCCTGGCTGCTTCAAAGAGGGGCGACTTGGGACCTACGGGGACGTCCACCTTCCAGGCCTTTGGAAAACCGGCGGCCCCCGCCCAGCTGTGCGGGATCCAGGGGCTGGAAGAGCCACTTTCCCGGACCCACGCTCAAGGGTCGGCGGCTTCTCAGGGACTTCCCTCTGCCTGGGTGTAGCCCCCTCCCCACCCCCAGAAGCCGCCCGGTCCTCATGGTGCCAGGGACAGCGGGACAGCGCGTGGCCGAATGGGAGCCCCACCCGTTGGGCATCGCGGACTGGGCCTGGACCGCCGGCTTTCCCACAGGGATCGCGGGGCGGGCCAGTGGCGCCGGCCTCCGAGTGCGCGCGGGCGTGTGCGGAGCGCCCGTGGACGCGGCGCCGGAGGCCGGGACGCGAGCTAGGTTCCTGGCCGGGGTTGTTGTGGGGCGGGGGGTGGGGGGGCGTCGCGAGGTGGAGGTGCCCCGGACCGAGGTTATTGAGGCTTGATGGACAGCTACTGCTCCTCACTGTTGCTGTTTTGGGTAGTTGGGGGGAGGGGGGAGTGGTCCCAGCTCAGACAGACATCCGGGCTCCCCTCCCTCGCTCAGAAATGGTGCCTTCGCGGTCCTCCCGCCCCTGGTCCCGGGCAGCCCACGCCAGGGAACGCTGCAGCAGCCCCGCGATGGATCTTCCTGCTCCTGCGGCGTTGCGGCTCTGCTGTCCTGGGGTCTCCAGTGGAGAAAAGGGAGCGCTGGCTCCGCCGCCACCCTGGAAAGGTAGCCAGGGATGGCGGTGCGGACGGCGAGGCCTTGGCGCCGCGATGGGGCTGGGCGGCGCCGGCGCGGACGCCAGCCGGGCCCCCTCGGCCCAGACGGGCGCGCCCTGATTTACCAGCCTTATTAAAGACGCGTTGTAACTTCCCACCTTCTTGCCGCAGGACCCGGGAAGCCACCGGGCTTGGCCACAACCAGGCGAGTAGCAGACCCGTGGGCAACAGGCCTGAACCCCAGGGCGCTTGGTTACCTGCGACCCCCACGGCCGTTTAGGCCGCTGCTCCTCTGTGCCGGGCCTGATGCGCCAGGCCCAGGTCCACACTCCCGATGACCCTGGGTGGTGGGGGTGCGGGGCCGCCTCCCGGAGCCTCTTGAGTGGGTCCGAGCGTCCAGGGACCCACGGGGCGGACGGGGCCTGCCGCGGAGCGCTGCCCGGGCCCCAGCGTCGGAGGCAGTGAGTGACACGCGAGTGCACACGCGTCAATATTTTATAAGCCTCCCGTTAATTAAGCGGATCATTTCCATGACGCCTCCGACACGACCAAGGGCGCCGGTGCGCGGTTCTCGGGGTCTGTAGTTCGGTGTCACCAGACGGCCGCGCCAGCTGCGCTCGTATTTATTTGTTCCTGGGCCGTGTTCCTGCAGGGCCCCGAGATACAGTTGTTAATGAGTTCGTGTTTTTCTCCCGTCCCCAAGCCGGGGCCGTCCCGGGGCCGGGCGACGTCAGTTCTGGCGGAGCTGCCCGCGCGGTGACTGCGGCGAATGCGCGCCTGGCGCAGGAGAGCGGGCCCGCACCGCGGCTGCGCCTGCGTGCACGGAAAAGCCTGGGTCTCCGCCGGCGGCAGCTGCCGTCGTGGCCGCGGCTCCTGGGCAGGGCGCACGTCCTGGGGACGGAGTGGCCTCCTGCTCCAGTGCCAGGGTCCCTGGGCCGGCCCTGGCCCTCGGATAGCGCTCCTCTTGCAGCTCTCGTGATGCGGGCTGAGCAGGCCAAGACGCCCAGGCGCGCGCGCGCGTGCCCTGAACCCAGCCTGGGTCCCACGAACCCCAGCCCAGAGCAACAGGGCCCGAAGGACCTGAGCCTCGCTGGACCAGAAACATTGCCCCTCCAGGCTGAGCTCCGTGCATCTTCCTTGCCTTTAAGTGACCTCTGTGCTGCGCGTGGAAATCCATTCTTCCCGCCGGAGGGAATTCTTTTAGAGCCTTCCGGTTTTTTTTTTTTTTTTTTTTTTTTTTTTTTTGGTCAGGAATAAGAGATTGTTCATCTTTAACTAGGCCACATAGAAATTATGATTCAACAACAGTGTATATTTAATTAGAGTAATCTCACTTGAATTTAATTACCTAATGAATTATTTGTTTAAAAGGTAGAATGTCTTGTTTGCCAAGTGTGGTGCAGTCCTCTGATAAGAACTTGGGGTGTGAGGACGTCGCGGTTTAAATGGAGGCGGGTCACAGGCTTGCATTTTAACCCGTTGAGTGCACTGCTGCCAGGGTGCTCCGGCCTCAGCCACGCCTAGCACCGGCTGGTTGGGCAGCCCCCCGGGGTTCTGGCCACAGAGGTCCTCCTCTGCTGTGTGCACCTGTCCCCTTGTCAATGAATGTCCTCTGACTCTCAAAGCAGTCTACTTTCAGTTTATTTTAAGGCTTAGTTCGTGTTGCTCTCCTGGCATTTTTCCCTTCCGGTGCAAGTCAGCATGGCTGCGTGTCAGATGGCTCTTCCGTGATGTGTGTTTATCCTCAAGTGGTGCCTCCTGGGGGGGGGGGCTCTCCGGGGCTGCCTGGGGCTGCCTGGCCCTGCCCCTCTGGGTCTGGGAGGCCTGCACACGGGCACCAGGGAGCCACACCAGGGTTTATGGGGAGGGGCGCTGCCACAGCCCAGACACTGACTTTAGGTTCCCAAACTGTGGAACAATTTCATTTTCTCTGCCTTCCAAAAGCAAGAGTTAATGGTTGCAGCTCACCCCTCAGAAGCTTCCTGGTCTCCAGACAGTGCCAAGAGCTGTTGCAGCCAATGGGAGGTCCCTGCCTGGGGTCCAGAGGGGCGGGGCGAAATCCGCTGGAGATGGAACCCTTTTGTGTTCCAAGGTCAAGTCACCGCAGGGCGGTAGGTAGGGTAGGTAGCCCCGAGTCCCCGGCTTTCAGCAGGGACCAGCATTCCCGGGTTAGGGATTGGGGCGGAAGCAAGTCACCCTCTCACTGAGGAGCAAACAGGAAGTAAGAGCGCCTCAAGTCCCCTTGGCTGGATTTCCCTGTCATTGCCATTACTATCTCATTAATCAAATAATGTACTTTAATTGCAGGCCTGCACATTTTTGGTCACATAAATATTAAGTATTTTAATATAGTATTCAACCATGTAGGACTAGGCTTACAAGAAAAATAGAATAGTTTGATAAGAACTATTATTTTTTGTTTCTTTTTAGAATCCCTGATTTTTATCACAGCTGTGCATTTTGAAATTGATGCTGCAGCAATAAATGGCTGTTAGATCGTAACATAGCCTTAATCACATTCAATTATGGTTCCAGGAGTGTGTTTCTTGCAAGGAACCAGATCTGCGTGAATGCAGATTTAGAGCTATTTATGAATTTACTTCACATATTTTTCCAAATAACAACTGACAGTAACACGGAGAGAGAACGTGAGATAATAGCTTAGGAATGATAATACATTTCTCAGATCTGAGCAAATCCAGAGATGATTTCCTAGTAAAACCCTCAAAGGAAAGGATATGTGTGGGAGGGAAGAAGTGAAAATACGAAATGGCATATTTTTGTTTGACTCTTCCAAAAATGTTTGAAATTTAGACCAAGCAGCTTTCTATCTCTTGTGACTTCGTATCAGCCCACGACCGCTTATATAATTAAAGCTAAAAGCCTGCAGCCCGAAACTCTCTCTAATGGAATCCAGGAACAGATACACGTGCACAAAACGCACCTGGAGTGGAGAGTTCCCCCCCTCCTGGGTTTCTCGCGGGTGTGCACGCCAGGTGCCACAGGCCGCGATCAGTTTCAACCCTGTCACAGGCCCCGTGACCTCATGTAACAAAAACCCAGCTGTGTCGAGTCACAAAGGTTAGCAGACATTTCGGGATTCGGGGAAACTTGCAAGAAGTCTCAAGGATGCTTAGGGATTTCTGGCATTTTCCAAGACCACTCTTAGAGGAAAATGTGGGCTGTGATCTGGGTCTGGGGAGGGAGTGCCTGAAACCACCCTTGACTCCGGATCCTTGGTCTGTCTTCACTCCAACCTTGCCTCCTGCTTAGCTGTCAGCCAAGATGCTGCTCCAGAGGTTGAGGTTCTGGGCTGGAGGCGCACCTGCTCCGTCCAAGAAGAAGTGCACAGCGGGCAGCAGGCCTGCTGACCTCCGGTCTCATGTCAGGGGGGTGTGTGTGCACCCTGCAAAGAGCTGGGGGAGGAAACGAGAGGAAGAAGAGGGTATGTTTCCTCCCGCAGACCCACTTCCCAGGGGCCCTTGGCCGCCAGTGGATGGCATACCCAAGACCAAGCAGGAGGCTGGCGCAGGGGGCGTTCCAGGTGGGAGACAGCCCCTCTCCGCCCCCTCCAGCTCCTGTGGCGCCCTCTCCAAGCCTCTCCAAGCCCTGATGCTGCTCACAGGCGGCCCGGCCATATCTCGCTGCCATCTACATTCTGGGGATTTCAACACTATCAGTTAAGCCTCCTTCCCTAGGGTTTGCAAAGCAGTACAGTGGTGGCTCCCAGCACGGGAATTAGCCCAGGGCCCAAGGTCAAGGCTTAGTGCATGCACATTAGGCTTGGCCAAGAGAGAATTGCCATAAAAACAGAAAATGTGAGTTCACTTGTGTCTCTCGTCAGCTGCCGCGCCTCACTGCCAGCAAATGCATTATCACTGTGGCGGTGATAGTGGTGGCGAAGGCTCAGCGATCATTTTACAAGCTGAAGACTTTGTGACATTATCTCTAGGGTTGAGTTAAGTGGTTTGTCTAAGGTCGCTCAGCAAGTGTGTAATAAATCCAGGATTAGAGCCTTGGCACCCCGCTCAACAGTCTGCCTGCTGGGCCCGGGGCAGGGAGACTTGTTGATCCAGTGAGGCAGCCCTTTGCTCCAGACCCTGCCAGAGCCTGGGCTCGGGGTCCCGCCGCCAGCTGGGCCGGGGGCACACCTGCACCTGCGCGGTGGCCACCAGCTCCTGGCTGCCAAACCCCCCTCCCTCCCTCTTCTCCCTCCCCCTCCCTCCTTCCTCTCCTCTCCGCATCTGCATCTCTCTCTCTCTCTCTCCCTCTCTCCCTCTCTCTCCTTCCCTGTCCCTGCCCCCTCCCTACCCTTGGTTCACTTATCCATGAAGCCTCTTCCGGTGTCCTCTATAAGAAATCCACCTTCTCTTGTGCCACCAGGGCAGAGTGAATGTAAAGCAGACCGTGGTCTGAGGCAGTGTCTGAGTGAGACGTCCAGGTGAAGCATGGACCCCAGCCGCTCCGCGGGGCAGCAGTAGGTACGAGGGGAGACACGCCGGTCCTTGCACCTCCTCTGGCCCTGCAGGACGACCCAGCGATGCCAGCCCAGGCTCCACCAGCCCCATTCGGGGGTTACTGGTTCTGTGCTTTCACTCTGCCCCAAGGGGGCCCTAGAGGGGGCCTACAGCTGGAAGGGGGAAGGGTGGCCCCCTTGCAGGATCTCACCCTCTGCCTGGCCCTGCCTCAGCAGGCAACAGGTGCTCCAGGGTCCTGGGTTCCCGACTATTGGGTGCTCTCCAGGGCCCAGAAAAGCAAGTGCCTTTGGGGTCTGGGTCTGGGCTCGGTGGGCTCCTCCCAGCTCTGCCCTCTGTGCCCCAGCCCTGGGGCAGCCATGGCTTCTGCGCTTGCCTCTGCCAGGCCTCCTTGTTACTCAGCTGAATGCTCTTCCAGCTGCTTCAGCTCGCTGGCACCAGGGCGGCTTGGGCAGCAGGTGTACGCTGCCTTACAGCTCTGGGGGCTGAAGTGCAAGGCCAGGGCGTGAGAGGGCTGAGGCAGCCCCGTTCCCAGTTCTCAGTGGTTCCCCGGCACCCACGGGCCCCCTGGTTAGTCAATGCCTCTGCCTTCACCTGCAGGAGTGAGTCCTTCCTGGGTGCCACTTCCAAACATGGGCTTCATAAACAGCACCAGGCGCAGTGGATAGAGGCCCAGCCTACCCCGTGTGACGTCATCCTGACCAGTTACACCCCGCTGCTTCCTGCAGACACTGGGCAGTAGGAAGTCAACCCTTAGTGAAGTGCTCTCCATGGTCCGTCTCTCTGCCTGTGCTGGCGCAGACCCTGACTGGTACGAGGAGTCTGGACCTCAGGCGTCGGGAGGAAGGTACTGGGTCTCCCAGTGAGGAGGGGGCACGGTGACCTGTCAGTGGAAGGGTGACCTGGGTTTGACAGACAGAGTGTGAGTCCAGGGTGCTCTGTAGTCCCACCCAAGACTCGAGAACCAAGCCTGCGGCACCGGGTTTATCATGGGGTGCAGCAACTGGACCCCGTCACAGAGGACATCGGCAGCACAAGGGTGAGTTTGGACTTTGTTCCTGGGTGACCAGAGGTTGTGGGAGGCGCAGGGCCGGGTGTGACGGTCACGGGGGCACCAGGAGAGGGATCCAGACCGGAGCTGCGGGAGCAGCACAGCATCAGCCGGGTGAGCCTGCCACGTTCCTGGTGTGCGGGTGGCAGAGCCCACGCCGGGGCCCGCCGTCCTCCCCTCCGGGCGCCTGGGTCCTTCTGCGCGTGGACAGGAAGCTGCTTGCTGACTGCCAGGGAAACACATTCCAAGCCTCTCCAGGATTGCTTGGGGGCCCGCTCAGGGGGGCTTACCTGCCCGCCAGGTAAGAGGCGCCCAGTTTTGGAGGACCCTTGGCACCCCTTCTCTGTCCTTTGGACCACACAGCTCATTCTGAATTTCCAAGTGTGACTTCTTTTCTGCGCAAAGGATTTTGTGCCTCAGTATGAACTTGAAGAACCAGCGAACTCAGGGCTGCCCAAGTTCCGTTCCATTATCCTCAGCCTGCGGGATGGTCAGCAGCCCTCCTGCCTGGGAGACAGACGCGGTAAGACAGCTCCTTGCTGTGGTCAGATCCCGGGGTCTTCCTCACAGCTTCCGGCACAGGGTGGTCACGTGCCCGGCTGATTCCCCGTGCCGTACGTAGACAGTGCTGGATTATGCAGGAATCTGGACGGACCGCAGGAGTGGGAAATAATGCTGTCAAGTAGAGGTGGCTGCCATTGCGAACGCCGTTAATACGGATGGAGACGACTTACATGCGAGCCTTCCCTTGGTGTCAAGACGTTCCGGTCGTAACACGAAGCCTGGGTTAGCAGTTCCACTGCGCTGTGGCTGGGAAGCAGAATACCAACGCTTCCGCGTCGTGTCACGGAGCTCCTGATAGACACAGGCAGGAGGAGCAATTCGGCGTCACTGGGAAAAGCGGTGCTTCTATCTCCAAGCTCACTGGGCTAACTCCGTGCATGCCTACTGTATGCAAAGCCTATCTTTGACTATCATCTGCATGCAGCAAACTCGATGTCAATTAGGAAGTGCTATCAACACCCCCTGGCATCCTCACTGGGGAATTAAACCCGGCCGGGCTTCCGGGAGTGCAGTGGGTTTTCTGTGAACAGAGGAAGGGAGCGAACGTGCTGTAGTTCCCGGAGCCTCGTCAGGTCTGTAGTCCACTCCGGAGCAGTTCGCACCTGACGTCGTCATGGCTCTGTGTCACTGGATTACGTAAGAAGCTAAATAAAAGATGGTCCGTGAATAGCCTGGCCTTGACCCTACCCCCCGCAGGAAGAATCAGCATCTGCAGAGGGAGATGATCCGTGTGTGTGTGTGTGTGAGATGGAGCCGGGTCACTGTGTGTGTGTGTGTGTGTGTGTGTGTATGTGATGGAGCCAGGTCACTGTGTGCATGTGTGTGAGTAATGGAGCCAGGTCACTGTGTGTGTGTTGGGTGTGTGTGAGGGAGCTGGGTCACTATGTGTGTGTGTATGTGTGTGTGTGTGTGTGAGTAATGGAGCCAGGTCACTGTGTGCATGTGAGTGTGTGATGGAGCCAGGTTGTGTGTGTGAGTGATGGAGCCGGGTCACTGTGTGCATGTGTGTGAGTGATGGAGCCGGGTCACTGTGTGTGTGTGTGCATGTGTGTGTGTGATGGAGTCGGGTCACTGTGTGTGTGTGCATGTGTGTGTGTGTGATGGAGCCGGGTCACTGTGTGTGTGTGCATGTGTGTGTGTGTGATGGAGCTGGGTCACTGTGTGTGTGTGCATGTGTGTGTGGGTGATGGAGCCGGGTCACTGTGTGTGTGTGCATGTGTGTGTGGGTGATGGAGCCGGGTCACTGTGTGTGTGTGTGTGCGCGTGTGTGTGTGTGAGTGATGGAGCCAGGTCGCTATGTGCATGTGTGTGTGTGATAGAGCCGGGTCACTGTGTGTGTGTTTGTGTGTGTGTGAGTGATGGAGCCAGGTCACTGCGTGCATGTGTGTGTATGTGTGTGTTGGGTGTGAGTGATGGAGCCAGGTCACTGTGTGCGTGTGTGTGTGTGTGTGTGAGTAATGGAGCCAGGTCAGTGTGTGTGTGTGTGTGTTGTGTGTGTGAGTGATGGAGCTGGGTCACTGTGTGTGTGTGTGTGTGAGTGATGGAGCCGGGTCACTGTGTGCATGTGTGTGAGTGATGGAGCCAGGTCACTGTGTGTGTGTGTGTGTGTGTGTGTGAGTAATGGAGCCAGGTCACTGTGTGCATGTGTGTGTGTGTGTGAGTAATGGAGCCAGGTCACTGTGTGCATGTGTGTGTGTGTGTGTGAATCCCTCTGTCCACACCAACAGCATGTCTGTCCCCACCTGCGTGATAGTCTCCACTTCCTGTGACTCACTGCGGGACACACTGGAACACAGCAAGGCTGTAACGCGTGTGTTGGTTCCAAGAAGTCGGCCGCCACTGACTTTCTGTGAATTCCTCCTTCCCCCAAACCGCCCGTTCCCTTCTTCATCAAACCGACCCTTTGATCAAATCACTTCCCGCAGCTGCACTGCCTCAGCCTGTCACTCAGCTCAAGCCGGAGGCCTGGAGAAGCCAGTCCCATGGTGAAGTTCCTGTCTGAGCTGGGAGGTCCACGACCAGGACAGGGCAAGGACAAGGGAGGCCAGGTGCCCAGCCCCAGTCGGCGGACAGGAGGCACCAAGGGCGGGTCAGTCCTTCCTCTGCCTTCTGGTCTATTCAGGTCCCCAGAGGCAGACACCAATGACGTGACGTCCGATTCGACGCCTGCCATCCAGTCCCGTGACCTGACACCCAGAAGGCAGACCTGTAGCAATGGCTCTGAATTTCCTGCCACTGGTCCCTCCCCCGTCCGTCAGTCACCTCTGAGCACAGCTCCCACAGCTCAGTTCCCTCCCATGGCCTCCTGGGCCGTTTGCTGTGACCCCTCAGTTCTCATAGGTGCACCCCGAGGAACCCTCCTGAAGTTGAAGCTACCGTAGGATCAATGTCCCCAGCACACGCACATCCCAGCTTGACAACGTAGGGCACTGTCGACTCCGGTGGCCCCCTGGTGACCGCGGGTGGACGGCCGGCTGTGCTCATGGCTGCTGCCAAGCACCACGAGAGAGCATCAGGCCACACATCACCGGCTCGGGCAAAGCTCAGAGGGGCTGCTGCGTGCACGTGGCCTGTGCACCACTGTGGAGCCTAGAACCTTCAGTAGAACCATTGGAAGCTGGCGACCGTCTGCACTCTCACGTCTCTGGTCCAGGCCCTCAGAATCCCCGTCTGGGTTCTTACCAGGGCCCCCACGTCACCCTCTTCCAGCACTGCTTATCCCCTGGAGGACGTTGCCCTCAGAGGTGGAGTCATTTTATGACCCTGCTAAAATAGCCTCGATTGCCTCTTTCCCACGGAATCGGGTCTCCCCAGAAAGTCGCACTGCACTCAGCCCTGTGGCTGCCGTGGTCCAGCGAAGCTTGAACTAAGTGAGCAGCTGTGACTATTCACTCACCCTCTGTGCGTCTGTGTCAACACAGCTTCGTGCGTTCTTTGGTGAGATGCTGGGCCTGACCCCTGCCTCCCTGTAGTCTGTCACTCAGCCCCGCCTCCAGTTTCCAGCCCCCAGAGCTCCGCCCAGCATTGCCTTCTCCTTTCCAAGCCCATGTTCCGTTCCCTGGCCTTTAGGACCCACTGGGAAAGCCTGCGCCTCATCCTCAAGTCTGCAACTTCAGAGCCCCCGGAAGGCGTGTGGGAGTCCTCAGACCTTTCGCAGGGCTGCGTGAGTTCATTAGGCGTGGACCTGTGCTGAGCGTCTCAGGCTGTGATACACCTGAGCTTCTGGGGTCAGGCGACGGTGAGAGCACATTTCACACAGGGGAGGCCTTGCCACCCCGCTTGACGCCTCAGCCCCAGCAGTCTCCGGGTGACTGCTACAGACCCCTGAACCTGGCTTCCACACCCAGCTCCAGCACCCCCCTCCCTGACCCAACACCGCCTCGCCTGTCTCGCTGACGGCTCCTTTTCCATCCACCTTCCCCTAACTTCTTCTCTCCACCTGAAAACCTCGGCGCCCTCTGTCTCCCTCTCTGCACCCTCCTGAGTACCTTCATCCACACTCCGGGCTTTGCCCTGTGGCCTCGTAAGTCTATTCCTCTGGTGCAAACCCCAGCCAAATATCCAACTGCAATTGGCTCACCTCCAGCTGTCCATCACAGACACAGCCCTCCCCTTCCTTCCCCGGGATTCCAGTGCAGGGAGAAGCCAGCCCGATGCCTCCCTCGGAGCCATCGTCTGTCCTGTTTTGTTCAGCCTCTGCTTCCTCAAGGATTCTTCGCTGAGCACCGTGACGCCGTGGGGAACGCAGCAGCTCTGGGCGCACACGGTGAACCAGAGGCAGACGCGGGCCAACCCGTGCGGGTGTCAGCGACGCGGGACTCTGTGGGGTCTCACCTCTGCTTCTCTTCTTTATCCAGAAGCTCCAGTCAGTGCCCTCTGTATCAGCATCTCCCTGGACAACACAGTCTGCTTTCTGGAATGGCCAGAGTTGGTAAAGAAAGTGTATGGCTGGCATTTTTACTCGACTGGGTTTTCCTGCTTCCCTGGTGCCCTCTTTTCCTTCTGTCTGGTTGCCTGCTTTCCACTGCACTTCGAAAGCGAGGCTTCTCCACCGCAAGCTGACCACGTTGTTTTCAGCAAATAATAGTTTTCAAATTTTCCCACTGTCTAGAGAGCAAAGCGAGAAATGTGGAGCAAGGTATAGAAGGGTTCCAAGTTGTTTTCCGGGCATTTTCCCAATACATCTCCATTCTATCTCAAGCAAGTCTTCTTCTTCTTCTTTTTTTTTTTTTAGAATTATTTATTTGATTTGAAAGTCAGAGTTACATAGAGAAAAAAAAGAGAGGCAGAGGCAGAGAGAGAGAGAGAGAGAGAGAGAGAGAGATCGATCTTCCATCCACTGGTTCACTCCCCAGATGGCCACAACAGCCGGAGATGTGCCGATCCGAAGCCAGGAGCCAGAAGCTTCTTCCAGGTCTCCCACGCAGGTGCAGGGGCACAAGGACTTGTGCCATCTTATACTGTTTTCCCAGGCTGTAGCAGGGAGCTGGATCTGAAGTGGAGCAGCAGGAACATGAACCAGCACCCATATGGGATGCCAGCACTGCAGGCAGCAGCTTTACCCACTATGCCACAGTGTCGGTCCCAGCAAGTCTTCTTGTAACTTATTTTATTTATTTGAAAGGCAGAGTGATAGAGGGAGAGGGAGCGAGGGAGAGAGAAAGAGCGAGAGCAGCTTCCATCTGCTGTTCACTCCCCAAATGTCTGCAACAGCCAGGGCTGTGCAGGCTGAAGCCTGGAGCCAGGAGCTTCATCCTGGTCTCCCACCAGGGCAGCAAGTCCTAGAATCCCAAGCCTCGTAAGTCCCTCTTTGTTTTAGCAGCACAAAATGGACCAGGGCTGCTGTCACCCACTTCCTGTGTTCCCTTTGGTGAATTCACAAGTGTTGATGTGCACATCCACGAATCCCGCACATGTACGCGTGTAGCTGCGGGCGTGAGTGCACGCGTGGCTTTGTCGTCTGGCTGCACCTTGGCTCTCTTCACCTCTTGCCTGCTCCTCGGCTCAGCGCCTACAGCTGGGCACCCACCGGGTTCTAAAGGCTGGGGCTCAGGTCCACAGAGCATGAAGGTGCTGTGGTTTACGGAACCAGCTCTGCATTGGAGCAGTCCGTGCGTGTGTGTGCGCGTGTGTTAGGGCTCCCCAGGGAGCCCGCCTGGGAGCCAGCAGGGTGGACCGGGACCCTCTGTGCCTTCGGTGTGAGCCTTGCTCATCACTTGCCATGTTTTGTTTTGTTTTTTTTTTGTTTGTTTGTTTGTTTTGTTTTTTTGTTTTTTTTTTTTTGTTTTTTTTTTTTTTTGTTTGTTTTTTTGACAGGCAGAGTGCAGTGAGAGAGAGAGACAGAGAGAAAGGTCTTCCTTTGCCGTTGGTTCACCCTCCAATGGCCGCTGTGGCCGGCGCACCACGCTGATCCGATGGCAGGAGCCAGGTGCTTCTCCTGGTCTCCCATGGGGTGCAGGGCCCAAGCACTTGGGCCATCCTCCACTGCACTCCCTGGCCACAGCAGAGAGCTGGCCTGGAAGAGGGGCAACAGGGACAGAATCCGGTGCCCCGACCGGGACTAGAACCCAGTGTACCGGTGCTGCAAGGCGGAGGATTAGCCTGTTGAGCCACGGCGCCGGCTAATCACTTGCCATGTTGACCATCCCTGCGAGTGTCTGCGGCGCGCTCT